TTAACCCTAAACTACTCTACTATGTTGTTGTTGGCTTGAAAGAGTTATTCAGAGGGTCTGTCTGTTTACAATTACACAGCTCTTTCAAAAGTAACTGTTTAGTTTCGGTTCTTTTTGTTAGACATGCGAGATGTTTATCTCCTGGTGTGCTATCTTATACTTGTATCTTTCGGAACAAGTGTCTGAAGCTCTACCTAATGAGTTTCAGAAAAGCTAAATGTAGCCTCATACACACTGTATATGTCAGTCTTATTGTGGTATCACAAAACTTTGAGCAAAAAAACCCCAACAAACCACTGTGGCTGAAGCTGTTGTGAGTGAGCAAACGAGCATGCCTTTTTCACTTTTCAAACCCTAATCTTCCCGGCAATCAGTGGATTTGAGCCAGTGGCACTTTTGATCACAAAATTTCTTCTCCCTCATGAAAAATGCTAGAATGTCCCTTATGATCAATAAAAGCCTGTACTACTGGATCCCAGGTGATCAGACACAGTGCATAATACACCCTGTGTGTGACAGCCACGTATTGTAGAATGATTGAAATTGATGCAATGTCAATGTTCAGTAATCACAGAGCTCCCTGTCTCTACTCCTTGATCATTCAGAGTGAATCAGACCCAGTCTTTGATCAGTCTCTGGCGCTGTACCCGGGGACCAAGAAAAAGAGACAGCCAGTACAGAGGAGAGGACAGACACAGCCATGTATTTACCCCTGCATTTCAATTTCACTAATGATTATGCACGTCCAGTCACTGTATAACAGCTTGGAGGAAGCCAAGTGCTGAGCCAAAGCCTTTATTATAGAAGATCTGAGTGAACATTATTGCTTTTGCTGCATGAAACAAACGCTTCAAGCAATTATAATGATTATCATTATCTGCTGAGAGACATGCTCGATGCAAATTGGCTCTATGTCAGTAATTAAGTGATGCACCCCTTTTTTGAGGGAGGTGAGTGAAGTTTTCACAGTGCTTTTAAAATAAAAAGCTTCAGTAATGCTGTGCAGAATTTTAATATCCACTCTATGGGGGATAATTTGACCCATTCTCTCAAAAGGTTCTGCATTTGAATGTTATCACCTTTCAGAATGGCTAATTACATGTAAGAAAAAGCAAGAGGAAGAAAAAAAGTGCGGCTAATTTGAATATTTCTAATCTAAGTGGCCAACCGACACAATAAATGTAGTGTCCAAGTCAGTTCTGAGTTCTATAATTTTACTTACAGAAGTTCTTTTTTTTCTAATTTCCTAATTCTTTCACTGGAACTTGGCCAAAATTTTGCGTGACAGTGTGTAACAGTCTAATTTCCTCTCCATGTCAGGAAAAGAGGAAGTGGCTGCATTAAAGCAACCTGCAGTTGGGGGGACAAAAAAGCAAAACCAACATAAAGTCTCCCAGTCACGTTTTAGATCCACTATGTGCCGCCTGAACAGCTTCAGTGCAATTTGGCATTCAGTCCCATAATCTCCAATGTCTTATTTGGTGTGACCGCAGATATGCCATAACACATGATTCACAACTTTTATAGTAATTAAACAATTCATTGACTACTCACACTATCTTGAAGGAAACACACACAACAAGATGATATTTGATCATTAGGTAATGGCGATTTGTGAGAACAGTTGATTGATTTGCAGTGACTCTTACATCTGGAAGGGCAAGTAAACACAAATCAAGGCTGCAAAATTTTCCCCACAGCACCCCTCACCCTGTATGGTCCAAGTATCCAGGTGTTTCCTTTAATCCTTCACACACTTAGTCCACAGTTATAGTAGCAGCCTTCCAGCTACAGTATCCCTACCAGCTAGTCCAGGTGTGAGTTTATGTATACAATAAATTGGATATTAATTCTGATTTTTATCACCTTCCTAT